AATATATATATATATAATTACATTTAAATTATATTGATTTTATAATGAAGTAAAAAACAGTAAAATTAATTTGTTTTCTTTTTTAAACTAACAAATATTTGATATATTGCTTAAGCATTTTTTAATTTTAGTATAATTTAAAAAACACAAATGAAAAATATAAATTTATTAGAGAATGCGTGGAATTAAATTAAATAAATGAGTAGAAAATATAAACAATATTAAGATTCAACCGATCGAAAAAAGAGAAAAAATTAATTAAAGATTCGACAGAAATAATTTATAAAAAAAGATTGAAATTTAAGATAAAAGGAAGAGAGTTTAATGTAAAAAATGAATATAAATAGTTAAATTTCAAGTGAAATATAGAAGTTTAAACATTTTGGATTAATCTATCGTCTCGTGAAACTGAATCGTGATAAATTGTACTTCATTCTTGTTCATGCATTTATTCTTACACGTTTGGCATAAGATACAATCAATCCCCTCCAAAATTGATATTTAAAGTTAATGTACAAATCTTTAAGACATATTTAATACTATTTTATAAATTATTTTTTCCTATTTATATCTTCATTATTTAAGATTAATAAGGTCGAAACAAATCTTAAGATTTTTATATTTTAAAAATTACAAATATTTGTTAGATTAATTGATATTTTTTTTTTAGTTTTCAAATCTCAAAATTTTAAATTTGAATCTTCTATTTATAAAAATAATTAATTATTATTATTATTTTTATTATTTAAAAATTAAAGAGTAAATAAATCAAACTATCATTATATATTAAGACACATAATTGTACTTTAAGTATTTAAGAGTAAACAACACGATAGTTTAACTTAATTTTTAAGTACTTTGCTTTCACAAGATATATTCGCGATAATCTATTTAATAAGGTCAGTGAGAAATTGTGTTTCCTTTGTATCATGTATAAAAACCCATTCAGCTAATGATATCACGAATTTTATTCGGAAAAAAAAAACTATGATGTTACTTTTACAAAAATACAGAAATACTTTTTTTATACCAAATTCTAGCTAACTTATATCTAATTTATTAATGTAGATGATTTATTTATGCGTAAAATAACATGATGAAGTAAAATCATACTATGTTAAATATTTTTAGATAGAGCGATTTAAATAGTATCAGTGTTAGTTTTTTATATAAGATTTTATATTTAAATTTTTTAAATAATTGAAAAAATATAATTAGAGAGAAATTTGACTAAAAATAATAAATTATGTCCTTTTGCAGAGATTAATGAAATGGATGGATTCAAATATTCAATAACGTTATCATAAATGAATATTTAGATGTTTAAAAATATCAAATAATAATAGAGAGGAAAAAGAAATTGATTGAAAAATGATTATAAAAGTGGGTAGTTTGAGTTAGGGAGGTGGATTGGGTCATTCTAGGACACAATAAGCCAATGAAAGAGGTCCAAGTCATAGCGGTAGCTATTGATAACCATTGCCGCTATTTGGACGCAATCCTTGAGGTTCTAGAACGCTGCCACGTAGCGACGTGCCCTCATTCCTGATTGGTCCCAGCAAAACAAAATCCATAGGCTATCGTGCCTATTACTGTAGTATTATTAAGTCTCGTCGTAGGATGCCCTCGATATTTGAAGTTCAATAATTCCGGCAACGGCTGTGTGGGCCCCATTGCATTTTGCATGCAGCAACATGGTACAAATGGAGCAATCAGAGCCATTGGTTTGATGTTGGCTTCTGATTGGTTCCTACTCTTGTAGTACTACTACTAAATGACGTGGTGTCCATTGCTGGTGAAGCAGCCCTGTCAGTGTAACATAACGTACGATTTGGTGGGAGTGGAGGATCTCATGGTCCGGTCACGAGGTACCATTATTGAGAGTGAGTAACACTTGTTCTTTAGTTTCCACTGTTCATAATGTTCATGTTCATCATCTGCCCATGCTTGGGATCAGAATTCACAAACCATGTACCTTTATTTTTGTGCTCTCATTTTATTATGTACCTTCCACATGAACAAACCCTCTTGTCAAACTTCATCCACAGATCTATTACGTGGCCCTTTGGATAGATATCAAATTTTTCATATTGGAACACGCCGTCCTCTGGAATCTCTCAACTCTGAAGTGACAACATTAAATCTGAGCCATGAAAAATAAATTGTACATATTAAATAAAATATAAGCAGATTATTTTTGAAATGCAGGCAATTTTGATCCCGTTCATATATACAATCATTATATAATATTTTTATTATTTTATAGATGTTTTTAAAATATAAATATATTATAATAAATTAGATAAATACAAATTAGAATAAGTGAAGTATGCCGTACTTATATATAATTAAATATTTAAGTTATTATAAATTATAAATTAATTAGTATTAATGTATTTTTTTTTCTTTTTTTACTTATCTTGAAAAATATCAATACATGAAGTTCAAATTAATAATTAATTATTCTTGAAATTTATTGTTACATTAGAGAAAAAACTATACTTAC